ATTGAAAAATATGAGATAGGAATGATTGAGGCGAGTTTGCCTCAATTTTTTGCACAAATTAAAGCTCATGAAGGAGAATTCAAGGTTAATAGCCTCCTCCAAATGTCTGTCAATGAAAATTCAAGGCATCTATGGGGATAAAGGGAGAGGCAGCTAAAATTTGAGGCGAAATTAATTTAAGGTTTTAGGTTGGAGGTGAGTGAAATTTGAAGTGAGCTTTTAAAAATTTAAATCGCGCTACTGAAAAAGGATAACAAAGACAAACTTCATATGGATGTTCCTACTTACATTTTCAATTACAATGACCCTTTTTTATTAGCCGTAATACTTGTAATACACAAGCACAATTCTTCTTTTTATGACAAAATCATGATTCTGTCATTAATATATTGTCGTTAAAAATACATTTTCTAGTAGTGTAGATTTTCATTAAAAGTGCTCAAAAAATACAAAATTCGTTTATTACACTTTATTTTAGAATTATTCTCACACTAATGTTCATGGTAGCACGTGAACCTGTACTATTTTTTTTGTTTAAAAAAATCGGTAATTCAATTAGTGGTCAAAAATAATAAACAACTAATTCAATTAGTAGTTTTTTTTGCTAATGAACCATTTATTGAATTAGCGATTTACGCAAAAAACATGTACCACAAAACAATACAATGTTTTAAATTGGAACCAGCAAAATGTTTTCATACTTCTGAGCATCGGTATCATTATATTTTTATTATCCTTTAATCAATTCACCGAGCGTTCTCAAATCCTTAATAAACCATACTATCATCAAACACAAATGCTTCACTTCTCTCTACAAATTAAATCAACCTAAATTAATTTAAAAAAATTTGAGATCTAAAACCTAAGCTCTAATATATAACATGTTAAATCAGATTTTGGGAAAACTTCTCAGATTGGAGTGTGTACCATTAATTAACCATCTATTAGTATTGATTTATGGAGCCTTGTTATCAATCCATGTTTTGGTAGTAAAATTTACTTTGAATCCTTTCAGGCCTCGTGCTGAACACACCATATGTTAATCCTCTTATACTTACCTACAACATTGTTTTTTTTAATGGTAATGATGTCTTAAATTTTCTTCATATGAATACTGTGTTTATACATGTTCATATATTTTTCCAAGTCGTCCTAGATTCCCATAAGCTAGAGTAGTGAAATTACTCATAATTGCTTAATTTGACCTTGTCAAAAAAATTACAAATAATTTTAATATTTAATTAGAAATATGTAGTTATCACCCATAAAATAAGAAATTAACATCATAATCTTGATATATTCATAAAAAACAAAAATTATAACTATCACCCGCTAAGCGTCCGATCCACCCGTTTCACCCATGGATGAAGGATGGATTGGGTGAGGTGATGGGTTTTGCGAGTGACAGGTGGAGCGGATAGGGTGAGCGGGTGGATGTGAGTGAAACTCCATCCGAACCGTTGTCATTCCTAGGCAAGATGAGGTGTGTTGCGCTGCAACCTGGATGCTGCGCGCTTTTGGTTTTTTTGGTTTTTATTTTTATCATAACTTTTTGATCCGAAACTTGTATTAAAGAAAATAATATATCGTTAGAAATCTATGAAAGTTTACTTTCTATCCCACTTAGAATAAGGTAAATATCAATTCAATGTTTTAAGATATGGTTAAAATAGTGTATTGGTGTTTGTTTTGAACCAAGTTTAATATTTGGCTCATACATATTTTGTGATAAATTGGAATTAGGATAATGTTACATAATTGAAAATCTTATTTCAAGGGTTATCCATAAATGTAAGATTTGCTTAATGATTATGAGGCACAAATGAGATATTAGCTAAGCTTTGGGATGTAGTTATGAAAAGGAGAAATTTGGTTAAGATTTGTGGATTATGGTTTAAGAAAAGTGTTTGAACTATAGAAATGGATAAAATAATTTATGAAATGATAGGAAATGGAAATGGCTTGGGTTTCTAAGCAAGACTCAAGTGTTACTCCGATCTAATACATAACTTGGACCAAATGGCGGTTAAAGGTTATTCATCACTAGGTTTTGGTTGGGAAGACATTTAAGTTTCTATAATAATTAAGTAACATTTTAAATCAATTACTATGTAGTTTTATAATATATTTTCAATTAGTGATTTTGACAAATCAATCCCTAATCAATTAATTCAATATTTTTCCCAATTACAATAAGATTATGTTCTTCATTTATCAATCTTCTCATCTATAAATCAATAATTACCTAATTAATTCATAAAACTATTCATTTCATGTACAAAAATACTCACCTTCTCTTCTTTTACTTACACTATCTTGCACATTCTTTTTATCTTTCTCTTATGTATGACCATGTGTTTCATTTATTTAATAAAGAATTGATCAAACATTATTGTTGGTTACATTAACTGAATAGTTACTAACTACATATATTTTTCGTGGTAATTGAATCTTAATCTATTTGATGATAATTATCATCCAATTGGTTGGTTTACTTTTACCTAATGTTTTGGTTTTAATTTATACTAGATAATACCCGAGCCATGCTCGATTTTTTAAATTATTGATACTTGAAATATAGAAGTTTGTAGAGAAATATGAAGTATAACAAATTAGTCAATTATAATAATAGTATTAAAAAAAATTATATTGATAAATAAATATTATGAATTTCCTAGGCAAATTAATGCTTTCACACACACACACACAAAAAGAAAAAAAGAAAAAAAAAAGTTTTAGGAGGGAAAATTCCCTTAAAAAAAATCCAATTTAGTATAGAGTAATAGATTATATATAATATCTATAAATAAATATTACTAAAATAACAATCGCTAACATCATACCTTCTATAAATTGTACACATGTCAACTTGTGGTAAAATTTTTTTTCGCCTAAATCAATTGCTGACATCATATTCGTATCCTTATTATTTTTATTAGCATTATTTTAACTTTATATTATTATATTATATATAATCTATTACTCCATATAATAAATTGGATTTTTTAGGGAATTTTCCGTCCTTTTTTTTTTTTTTTTTTTTTTTTTTTTGTGAAAGCATTAATTTGCCTAGGATTTTCATAATATTTATATAGCAATATAATTTTTTTAATACTATTATTACAATTGACGACTGTGTTATACTTCATATTTCTCCATAAACTTCTATATTTCAAGTATCAATAATTTAAAAAACCAAGCATGGCTTGAGTATTATCTAGTAATATAATAATCTAAAGTTTAAGTAAGGATAAAAAAAATAATAAGGACAAGAATATGATGTCAGCAATTGATTTAGGCGGAAATTTTTTTTTACCACAAATTGACATGTGTATAATTTAGAGAATGAATGATATTAGCAGTTGTTATTTTAGTAATATTTATAGATTAGACCATCTTTATTCTTAACTCATTTAATTTTAATATTTAAATATAATTTAAAGGAAAATTTATAAATAACCATCCTCAAAACATCAAATTTTGATTTTACCACTTTTTTTCTTAACATTAAATAAAGTTAAATTTCACCACCCTTTGTCTAAATCTAGCCAATTTTTCCACAGTGGGGTCCTTATAATGATTAGATTTTTGTTTTAAATACTTCTCTCTTCAACTATTTCCCCTCTTTCATATTTTTCTCTCATGCCCTTGTAATTACTCTTAAATATTTGTCTAAAAATAATTTTTTTTTACCTAATTTAATACTTAAATTATTCTATGGAGTAGTTAATCTAAATTAGATAAATTATCATGTTTGTGTAATTGAGGGGTTTTTTAAGGTTGAATGATTTTTGCAAATTAATTAATTTTTTGGGTTTTATCATCATCATCATCATCATCATCAGCTCCACCATAACCAGCCTGTTGCATCATCATGGCAAGCGGCGACAAAAAATTGGGATTGTGCGTGGCAACGGTTGTGGCAAAGGTGGTTCAATGGTAGCAAGTGACACGAAATAAGGAGTTTGTCTTCAACGGTTGAGAATCATGTGAATGCAATTCAATTCTTAGGTTAATTGTTGTTGAATATGTAATGAATTGCTCCTTTAATTACTTAATTGTTATGTGAAGCTGTCAATTTGAGTGGTAGGAGAAATAAGGGTTAAATAAGGGTTCATGTCAATGACATTGAGGGTTTCTTGAAGTTGAACAATAATTGCAAATTAATCATATTTGTCACTCTCGTAGGTTTTATATGCTCAATCATGTTTAATTATATATCCATTTGCTGTAAAAAATCGTGGATATAATGGAAAATGGGAGGGAAATTAAAAAATGTGTCCCACAATCGGAAATATGACTGCACTTAGGCAAAGGTGGTGAAATTTAATTTTATTTAATTTTAGGGGTGGTTAATTAAAATTAACAGAAAAACAAGAGGTAAAATCAAATTTTGGTGTGATTGAGGGGTGTTTATTTACAAATTTTCCTTATTTAAAAGAAATTATATAAATTATTTTAATTAGTGTGTAGCACAAACTTTAGGTGAAAAACTTTAATGGGGGCTTGCTGCTTGTAGCTGCGAAGAAAACTGACCACAATTGGCAGCCTGAGCTTGCGAAACTTCCGTTGCTCGTTATGGGGTGGAGGTTTCCAAGAGGATTGTGTTCAAAAGAGTTGTGCTTAAGTGTGATGTATTGAATGTTGTTCGGGCAATTAAGGAGAAACAGGAAGCAGCTCCAATTTATCACTTCTTCGAGGACATTAGTCATGCTTGTATGAAATTTTTTTTTTTTTAATTGTGTTCATGTAAGGTGTGTGGGGAAAATCGTTGCCCATTTAACTGCTAGGTGAGATACATGTATCAATTCAGAACGTATATTGGTATACATATGAATTTGTTCCCTCAAAGTTTTGAAACTTTAGCGGACCTTAATTTAATAAATTGAGCTCCGCGTTATCTTAAAATTTTAAAAAAAACATCATGTATTAAAATAGAGCATATATGTATGGATTTATTCTCCAAAGTTGTAAAAACTTTCACAGACCTTAATTTAATAAATTAAGATTTGCGCGTTATTTTAAAATAAAAATTAAAAAATTAAAAATTAAAATAAAAAACATCATGTATCATATCATCATCCGTGAGTTGTGACTATGTTTCATTGCTATCTAAAACGCGCCTAATATGATATGATATCCCCACTTTCCCTGTCTCTCTCTTTTCTTTTCCTCATTTCCTCTCTCTTCTTTTGTACTCTCTCTCTTCTGTCTTGTGACATACCCGTGGATCCATCCCTTCCTACCATTCCTCTCCCTTCCTTCCTTCCTTCAATCTCTTTGTATTTATACCTTCACACTCCACACCCCATCTTTTCTCTCTCCTTCCTCTTCCATGGCTTTCTCCTCTTCTTAACTCCTTGTTCAGTCACCCCCTTTTCTTAGATCTATTCTCAATTCCTCCCATTTTCTCTCTCCTAGGGTTTCCATCCAATTTCTGTTCTTTCCCTCTTCAATAATGACTTCGTTTCGGCCAGATCTGACGGCCACCGCCAGAATCTATCCTGAACCATTGGTTGAGGATCGTATCGATGTTGTGGTTGATGATGATGAGGTTTGTGATGATGGGGTTGATCATTTTGATAGATTACCGGATTCTCTGCTATTGTTGGTTTTCAACAAGATCGGAGATGTTAAGGCTTTGGGTCGGTGCTGTGTTGTTTCTAGAAGGTTCCAGACGTTGGTACCCCAGGTTGAAAACGTCGTCGTTCGAGTTGATTGCGTGATCTCCGATGATGATTCCTCCGTTGCTTCTTCTGCTGCAGATAAGTCTCGTTCTCCTTTTGCTAATCTTGTGCGTCTCATTTTTGGTAATATTTTTAAGCCCATTCAAGCTTTGGGCCAGTTGTTGGGTCCTAAACGATCTTGGCCTGTCGGTGTGTTGGGTACTGGCCCATCATCTTCGTCGGCCTCGGCTTCGGGTTCGGCCTCGTCCTCCTTATTGGTGGGTAATGGGGTTGATGATGAGGAAGGGGAACAGGGTGGTGTTACTCACCATTCTCCAACTCAGGTTTTGAAAAACTTTCTGGAGATTCGTTATCTAAGGATCGAGTTGCCTAGTGGTGAATTGGGTATTGATGATGGGGTTTTGCTCAAATGGAGGGCGGATTTTGGGTCTACTTTAGATAATTGTGTCATTCTTGGTGCTTCGTCGGTTGTTAATAGCGCGAAAACTATTCAATTGAATGAAAATGGGGTAATTAGTGAGCAAATTAGCCCGAGTAATGTGGTTAATGATGATAATGGTAGTATACCTGAGTCGTTTTACACTAATGGGGGTCTGAAATTGAGGGTGGTGTGGACGATTAGTTCGTTGATTGCAGCATCAGCTAGACACTATTTATTGCAACCAATAATTGCCGAGCATCAAACTTTGGATAGTCTTGTTTTAACGGATGCTGATGGTCAGGGTGTGCTGTGTATGAATAGGGATCAGTTGGAAGAGTTGAGGGTGAAGCCTTTGTCGGCTTCATCTGCATCGAAGAGGACTCTTGTGCCTGCATTGAATATGAGGCTGTGGTATGCACCCCATTTGGAGTTGCCTAATGGAGTAGTATTGAAAGGGGCAACATTAGTTGCTATTCGACCCAGTGAGCAGTCAGGAGTGAGTGCCAAGAAGGAAATTTCGGACTCATCTTGGGTTTCCACTGCGTTTGAAGAGCCCTATGGTACAGCGGCAAAGATGCTAGTGAAAAGACGGACCTATTGTCTTGAGATGAACTCATTCTAAGTAACACTGAGTGCAGGTATACGTTCTCTTTATGTTTCATAATCTTGTTCATTTCGTGTCTGTGATCTTTTTCTTACATGTACGTTCTTATTTCTAATTTATTGTAGTTTTGATGTTTATATTCTATAATTGGGCGTGAATTGCTGTGTAGATAATTTCGAGACATCCTTGTATTGAGCATTTTATGATTGATGTTTAGGCCTCATTAAATTATCTACGACTAGTTGCTTGTGAAGTAGGAAATTGTTTATGAATTTCTTGTCATGATTCAGTGGTCAGGGGATATTTTCTTAAATAAAAACATATTGTCCCAAAGTAAAGTGTCTTTGGAGATATTTCTGTTTCGAGTAGAGTGTTGCATTTACTTGTAACTTATGCTGTAGAAAATGTGCCATGACTTTGAAATTTATTTATGTGGTGGCAATTTTAAGTTGTCTGGACTTGCATATCATATATGGTACAGGTTTAATGTTCAAATTTGTGCCATGGTTGTTGATTTCTTTTGCTTATTGTCTGCCTGAAGTGATTAGAAGACTAGGCTCTTTAGGTATGGTGGCTAAGTCAGCTTGGCTGATATATGTCTGCAACTGCAGAGTATATGCTGATTGAGTGTGCATGCCCTTTTCTTAGGTCACTGATGATCAATATCAGATTTGGGATCTTGAAAACTCTTATATGCTGATTGAGTGTGCATGCTCTTTTCTTAGGTCACTGATGATCAATATCAGATTTGGGATCTTGAAAACTCTTATAGTTCAGATTTTCTTTTTAGGAAATGTGTCTTTTCTGAAAGCAACTTTTTGTCTTGATTTGATTCTAGAGTGTGGATGAATTATGTGCCCCAAGTCCATAAGTTTCTCTAGATAGTATACCAGTATTGTGACAGAATATTGTTTTGATGTCAATTTCAAAATTTTTATCAGAGGACATGGTGGTGTAGCTTCTGTAAAATTTTCCGTACCTGCAACTACTAATTCTATTCGTGTGCCTTCATTCAGCTGGCTAACTTTTGGTTGTCTGTAATCTTGTCCATTAACTTAGAGTATCCTAATCTGTTACAACAAAGCCTTGACTTTGAAGTAGCAAGTACTTTGGTCTTGTTTATCATTTTGATTGGTAAATTGGATAGTTGGATTATTCGGACACTAGGGGCTTCAGATAAATTTCTTTTTTTGGAAATCCCCTTGACTGTGCTAAGTAGCAAGTACTTTTGTCTTGTTTTTCATATTGAATTCGTGATATATATCTGCTAGTTGAAAACCTTTAGAGTTCTCTATTGGTGCACGGTGCTAGGTTAGCTGTTCTATATTGCTAACAAACATTATATCTGTTGTCTTCTCAGGGAGGCGTGTTGTGTCAAGGGAAATGGGAGCTTGAGACTGTTTCTGAAGACAGGAAATACAATTTTGTTTTCACACTACTCAACAAGGGTGCGGCGGTGCTCTTCGTAATCAACAATGCTAAACTATATGGTGGAGGCACCAATAATCCGTCCCGTGTATAAATGGAGCTCATATGGCACCCTACTGGTACAACACGAGTAGTAACACATCTGCATCAAGTTCACTTGAAGCCATATGCTTTGTAAGAAATGCAGACATGCATCTAGATTGAAGTTGGAGCTTTTGAGTTTGTGGATTCTTAATAATTTACCTATCATTGTGAATATTTTAGGCATGGAATATGTTTATCCTTTCATTTGATGTAAGTTTTAATGTCATCAAGCAGTGTACTTTTGCACTCTGATGTACTTTCTAGTCTTATTAATCCAACTTTGAAAGAGGACACAACATGATTATACAGTCTGTCATGTGAAAAATTCTTAATTGTTAACCACGACATAGTATTAAATTGTGCAAATTAGTTCAAGGTCTTTGTAGCCAATTATGTTTTAAACATATCTAGTTAATTATTCCGGGGGCTAATTTCGCGCTTAGGCCCTCGTGTTTTCTTGCTTATCTATGAGTCTATCCGTTGTATATTAGTTATGGTTTTTTTAAGGAAGTTTGCGTTAGGTGGATTCATAGTTAGGTAAAGTGACAGCCAGCTTGGAAGAATGCAGCTAACTTGGTTGGTAGTCTTCTCTCTCCTGTCAATGCTTCAATTTGCCCGCCATTAACGCAACCTACAATCGCTAATTTAGATTATAGAATGCTTTCTACTCCGTATTATATTGTTGGATTCTTATTGAGAAAAGTCTGTTCCAACTTGCATTAATTAGATTTGGGCTTTTGAATTTCTGTTGGGTGGTAGAAAAAGCCATTTACTCTTCCGTATAGTGTAGTTTCTTTGACCTTTTTTCTTTCTTTCTTTTGGCTTGTTCTCTTTTTCTTTTTTTCATTGTTTTTGGGGGATGACCACCTATTTTTCTCCTGTTTGATGTTAAGATGAACTACTATTTCTCTAAATATTGCTCTTAGTATACTTCTATTTGCATCATGTAGACTTAGAATTTAGAAATGGCAAGCTTTCTATTAATGAATCATGAAGTAATACTAGATTTCAGTTGCTATAATACGAGTATATCTTTTCAATAAAGGCTACAATTAGGGAATGCTTGGGGTTCTTCAAGAGGCTTTGTTCTCTTTCCTATCCCTGATTAAGTTCGTTAGTTTTACGGTCTTTATTATCCTTTCAATAATGGATCTTTGCAAGAAGTTTGACTCTCTTCTTTGCGTTTTTCCTTGTTCTGATTGAGGTTGAGTAAATACTACAATAAGGGGTACTAAATTTTAGTATAAGTTGTAGGTAAGGTACTAAACTTTCAAAAGTTGCAAATAGAAAAACAGGTAAACCCCCTTCTTTTACCTTGTATAACCGGGTTATACTTGCAACAAAAAAAAAAGGGGAAAATAATATCCTTAATTTATCTTTCTCTTTTTACTTCCCCTCCTTAATTTTCTGGTCTTGTTTATCATCTTCTTCATCATTAACTTAAAAAAAAAAAAAAAAAAAAAAAAAAAAAAAAAAAAAAAATTAAAAATAAGGACTAGACCTTAGACCAATTTGCGAAAAATGTTTCCCATTCTCTCTCTAGCTTTTGTTCTCCACTAGTGTGATCATTGATGTTTTACCTTCTCGTCCTTGTGAGGAGGCTCTAGGAGTCTGAGCTTTTCTTATCAAATTATTTTGTTTTTAGGGTTTGTTGCCCTTTTGTGTTATTAAGGCCCTTCAAGTATGTCCCCTTGTCCTATGGATCCACCCGATCCATCTCCCCCCATTCATGACACTACTATGCAAGATCTAAATGATCATCCTTTGGATAAAATCACTCATACTCCTGCTACTAATACCACTTCCGGGATTAAACAACCTTTATCTTTCATTGAAGCGGTTCAAGGTTCATCGCAATAGTTTAACGAGGCAAAAAATATTGCTATTAACACCCTCTAATGGAACGATGAAGACATTGATCCTCCTAACCCTTCCAAAGCGATTTCTTTCCCTAAAGAAATCTTAGACAAACTTAGGCACTCGTGAAAGCTCACTTTAACGGGCAAATGTCTAGATTCTCAATCCGGCCCTCTTTCATTACTTAAAGGGTTCGGGCTATGTGGAAACCTAAAGGTGCTGTTGAAGTTATTGTTCTGGGTAAAGATATTTTTCTTTTCCTTTTCTCTATTCAAGATAACTACGATAGAGCCCTTCTAGGAGGGCCATGGTTCATTCTTGATCACTACTTAATAGTCACCAAATGGAAACCAAATTTTCATCCATCCATGAATCCCTTTGATCGGATGACGGTTTGAATTACCTGCTGAGTATTATGATGAAATTGCTCTATTTGAAATTGCAAAAATGGTAGGCAATCCTATCCAAGTCGACTACGCCACGGATCACCTAACTAGGGCTCGCTATGCAAGAGTCTGTATTGATATTGATCTAACTAAACCTCTAGTTACTTCAATCTGGGTAAGTAATGGTTGGCAACTCATAGAATATAATCAACTCCTTATGCTTTTCTTGTGGAAAAATTGGCCACACCAAAAATGATTGTCCACTTTCTTCTACCAAAATGGATAAAGATAAACTCCCATTGCAAAACCAAGAACAAACCTCATGTTCAAAGCCTAGCCCGGTTTTAGCCCAACCCACTACCAATAATTCAAGCCAAATAGTCAATACCTTGCCTCAAAATTAGGAAGTATGTCCAAATGAAATATATGGGCCATGAATGGTTGTCTTTAATAAAAGAAATCAGCCTAACAAACTCCCAAGGAAAAATCCAAACAACTATAATACAAAAAATAGTACTCAAAAAATTAAATCCCTCACTACTAAAACCATCACTAAGAAAAATAATTATAAAAACAATTCCCAAGACAACTTTTAGCAACCTTTCTCTCAAATGGAAGGTGAAAGAATGATGAAAGTTTGCCAAATAGCTCTATCTGTATTACTTCAATTCCCGAACAAAATCAGGAAGCTTGTGTGCAAATAACCTTAAATTAAAATGTTGCTTCCAATTCTGACCAAATAGTTATGTAGAAAGAAAGTGCCCCTCCCTCATTGGGAACTAATCCACCATCTCTTGTGCTTCCTACCTTATATTCTTTACCGGAAGTCACTATGTTAAGCACTTACCCCACGAGTGAAACCCAAAACCTAGAACATCATCATAGAAAAAACCAAGCACAAAAGCAATACTCGTCGTCGAGCTTGCCGAGTTTAGGGTCATCAGACCCCCATAAGCTTCTCTCCATCAGCTTCCCCCTCCTCCAAGAAATAACCATAAACGGCAACTAATTCTGGCACCATCCACCCTGCTAACTCTTTCATCCCTCCCACCGCTGCCACCTATAACCCTCCATGGTCGCCCGTTGGCGTCCGACAGTCTTCGATCGTCAATTCGACTACCATTCACCCCCTACCGCCAGAAACAAAACCAACAGAGACCACCCGTAACTCCAAAAATCAAACCTCATTTTCCCAACGACCATCTCCTCGCCTAACTCCTTACCTCCCTTATTAACCCTCCACCTCCACCGGGAAACAACCGCTAAACAACATCCAAATAAAGATCCCAACCTCGAACCCCCTCCGCCTATCAACGCCACTTCTCTAGCCATCGCTGGATGTGCCGATCACTCATCCAAAATCTTGATGATGCACGAAACTCTTCTACTACTCAACTCTATGAAACCACTAGCACTGAAGAGTTTGTCGCGCTCTTGGTTTTGGAATCATCCTCAATGGCCCAATTTTCATCATCCTATCCTCTAACCTCCTCTTATAAACATCCTCACTCATCCAATATCATTAGATCACAAAGAGATAAACGTAGAGTCTCCAGAAAACCTTTTGACCCAATTCTTGATTCAAAAGGGTTTGGTGGGCATCCATGTAGAGGTCAATTTCTAAGAGACGGCGCTGACTAGAGGGAGGTTCATGCCATGATAGTCCCTTTTGGCTCTGGAAGACACAATCTCGCCGAATCAATTCCCGATGTGCGAAGATTAGACGAAGAATCTGCCTCACATCTCTCCGAATGATTTAAAATCTAAGTCAAGGTCTCCTCCCAATTCTTAATTTTAAACATGAATTAATTGTCAAGAATGTGCGTGGTGCTTCAAGGAATGACTTTTTTCCACATGCGTGGGATATTATTGCTACCTACAAACCAAGTATATTCATAATTCTAGAAGCAAAAAGTAATGGTTTTCGTGCTAAGCAAGTTAGCCAAATTCTAGGATTTTAGGGTCTCCAATTTATTGATCCCAATGGCATGAGGGGGGTATTTGGCTTATGTTCAAACCCTATGTGGATCTCATTCTCTTTGATGATGACAAAATGAAATATTTTCATGCTTTATTCAGATTCAAGCCCAATTATAATTAAGTTCTAGTCACTGGAACCTATGCTCCACCTTCTCCCTCTGTAAGGCACAAGATCTGGAGAGATTTACGTGGCAATCTGCCTCCGGACGACACCCCTTGGACGCTCAGCTCCTTGGTGACCTCAATGAGGTCATGTCTCCTTCGGACAAGATGGCTGGTCGAGCTTTACGACAATCGCAATGTAAAGATCTTAGAATGCTCGTTGATGCGGCTTGTCTAGTCCATTTAGGTTACAATGGTAACCTTTATACATGGCATAATGCAAGGGCAGGGGCTAGCAATATAAGGGAGAGACTTGATAGGGCTTTACCGAGTTGGCTCAATACCTTCCCTAACACTCAGGTAACTCATCTTCCGAGAACTTTCTCTGATCATAATCCTTTAATGGTTTCTCTTTATAATAATAATATTCCTGGTAACTATCCGTTTCATTGCAAAACTGCATGGCTTGAACATGATGAATTTAAAAATTACTTTGTCAATAATTGGGTAGTAGGGAATAATGAATTTTTAGAATCTAAGGTAGAAGTAATTTTTTAAATACTATTAGGGATTGGAATGAAAATATCTTTGGTAATATTACAAAGCAAAAAAAAAAGTCTTATTAAGTGGGATTCAATTAAGCCTTTCCAAACGTTTTTCTTAATTTTTGTTTAATTTAGAAAAATATCTCATTCATTAATTAAATCTTATAGACCATTATGAGAAAATCTTGTGGGTTCAAAAGGCGGGTCTAGACTGCAGAAAATATGTCGACTGCAATATTAATACTTTCATCTTTTAGCCAAAATTAAAAAAACTAGAGGAAGCATTATTTGTCTTAAAGATTTTAAGGATAATTGGGTTGATGATTAGTTTAGCCTTAAAATGATGGTCGGGAATCACTTTATAAATATTTTTACCTCTGCTTCCTCCCTTGATCATCATTTAATGCGACTCTTTTTCCTGTTGTAAAGTCATAGAGAATTAACTAATTTCCCCCCTTAATGCTCTTCCTTAAACGATGAAATCTATTCTAACTTGAAGGCTGTG